TTTCCCTGATCAACAACATAAAGATTTTCTTCATTATCAAATGATAAACCCATGGGACAATTCAATTGATTTAATTGATCACCTTGACCATTTCCACCAACAACAATTTCACCTTCTTCATCTCCTTCACACCAACGCATTATTCGATGATTATTATAATCTGCTACATAGATTTGACCCAAGTGATCAACAATCACTCCTCGAGGAAAAGACAATTGTTTGAGACTATTTCCTTGACCATTTCCACCAGCAACAATAATTCTTTCTTTTGCATCTTTTTTCCATTTCATTACCCGGTGATTCTCTTTATCTGATATATAAAGAGAATAATCATCATCAATAAAGATAAACGTAGGACAATTGAGTTGATTAAGGTGACTTCCTTGACCATTTCCACCTGCAACTAATTCACCTCGTTTATCTCCTAATTTCCATCGTCTTACTTCATTCTTGTCACAATCAGAAACATAAATAAATCCATCTTTATCGATTGTTAGACCCCAACAATTGATATTTGAAATAAGAGTTTGTTGATTTGTTTGATTATTCTCAAAATACCGAATAACTCGTTGGTTATGAGTATCAGAAATAATAAAAGAATTATATTTTTTATCAAAAATTATATTTGCTGGACAACTTACTAGATCATTTTCATTTCCACTTCCATTTTCAACCATAACTATTTGACCTTGATTTGAATTTAATTTCCATTTAACAATACGATAATTCCAATAATCAGCAATAAAAATTGATCTATCATTATCAATAAAGATCTCTTGAGGATAATAGAGTTGGCTTAACTCATCTCCTTGTCCATTTCCTCCAGCAACAGTAATTCCAAATTGCTGAAATTCATTCTTTATTGTTTGAATTTCTTCTAAAATAAAACATTTTCTTTCTATTCAAATCTTTTTCATTATTTTTAGATGAAAAAAAAGGGCGAAAATAAGACGAACAAGTTGTATTTTAATTTGCTTTAATAAAATAAAATTTTCTTTTTGTTATATTTAGTTTTTAATTCAACAAAATAAATTCTAAACAATTTTTTTCATTTCTTCAGATTTTCTAATTCAAAAATTGTTTATTTGATTTTCATAAAAGATAAAAATAATATTTTAATTTTCGGTAAATATATTCAATTCTTACTATAGTGATAATTTGTTTTTTCGAAATTATTCGAATGATTAATTCGATTAATAATTCTATAAATATTTCTTTTCATTTGTGAAAAATATTTATTTTAATTAGGATACAAAAATTTTAATGGAAAACTTTAATATTCTTTAAAAAAATTTATGAAGAAGCTCTATCTCAGTTTGAAAGTTGATGAAACTATTTTTTAGACAAAATTACTATTATTGTTATTTAATAAAACATACTGTGTTTTATTTGAGATTGAGATTGAGTTAACATTTCATATAATGTTGTTATTGAATTCTTTGATATAGTCGCTGCACTAATTGTAGAATGATTTGATTGATAAGAATCTTAATAAAAATAAAATATAATGGTTTTATTTGACAATAATAAAAAAATTAATAATTTACTTTAATTTAATTTATATAAAAATATTAATATAATATATAGTTCTGATTTCATCCACATCCTCAAGATAGTTTCAAAGAACTTGAATTTCATCGATAAAACATTTTTTAACTTAATTTAATTATTCTTTCTTATTTTATTATCTTTAGCTTGACTTCAATCGCATTTTGAAAAAAAGAAAGCAATGTAATAGTAAACATATTTTAAGTTTCATATCAATATCAAAATATGAAATAATCATTTCCTCAAATATAAACTTGAAATTAATACTGATAGAATCTGTTTGGTGAAGAGAAATCGTATTGACTAACTGCATAATTTATTAATATTATATATCATTTGATAATGATAGCACTCTATTTAACTCTAACTAAAGACTAAATCACAATAACTTTTACTGATTTGAGTTCAGCTCGATTCATTTTAACTAAGATAGGAACTATTTACAACTACTATGTTTATGAAATAATTGATATTCTACATTCTTTTGAATTTCGAGTTTTATCTGTTTTTTATTCATAGAATAATAAATAATCTATCAAAAAACATTTGATTATTCAAGATAAAATGATAGTTCTACTAAATAAATATAAGATTAATCGATTCTTTTCTACTTAGATTTATTTATAGTATTACAAGATAGTATGAAGAATCTTCATAAACTATACAAAGTAACGAATCAATCTGTTTTTAATCTGCTAATTCAAGTTAGAATATTGTTTATATTTGTGTGAAATACTGACGAGAAAAATATTAATATTAGTATGTAGTATGAAAACAGTCAAAAACTCATCACGTCAATAATAATTTAAATTGAATGAATAATGTGCTAGAATTGTTGATAATATTTTTTACTTTTTAATGTATGTTGGAAGCGAGCGATGAAGGTAGTTTATGATCAGAATTCAAAAGCAAGAACAGCATGAAAATATAATAAATCAACAATCAGTAGTGTTTTTTTTCTTTTCATAAAGAAGGAAAGAACAGTGTATTATTTCATTTCAAACCATGTGAGCAAGCAAAAGAAAAAAAATTGACTTTTTATATGGCTGTTCCTATAAAAAGACATTTTTATACAATTCACGAAAGCATAGACGCTATGAAACATACTGGATGCCAGTAACAACGATGATCACATCAAATTCAAGCAACAAAATACTTCACTCTTTATAAATTTTACATCAAGAATATTTGAACACAAATCTCTTTAATTATATGAATATGTATGGGCATAAACAGTAGTATCGAAATTGAAAGTTGAATTTAACTATTCAGTTATTGAATACCTGAAGTTTTCAGCTGTTTGTTCAGACCTTACAAACACTCAGCTTACCCAATAACACTCATACCTTGAATAGTTGAAAACCTCAAGTATACTCAATAATTGAATACTTGAACATCGTGGTTACGCGATTTGGTTCCATTTAAACATAAGTTTTTCCATTCTTGAAAAAATTTTGTGTTTCCGATTATACAATATTGAATCACATCGAATATCCTCATTTTACTTCACTTTTCATTAAAAATATAGGTATTTTTCATATGAAACAATTCTTAAATGAAAATAAAACACATCTACCTTGTCTAGCTGAAATAAGAATTAGATATGAATATTTGAGAATTAAAATAAACGATTTTCCAAGAGAAGCAACGGGATGTAATTGTGCTAATGTGCAGTGATTAATTATTGGATGATCAGTTTTTAGTTCGAAAGACTATCACATTTATTTTCCTTTGTTATAGTTTTGGTGTGGATGCGACTGAATAAGAGACATCCACACCCACACCTTTTTGTGACATTCAGCATATTTTTTATTTTTATAGTCCAGATTTTTCCCCACTTATATTCAGCGTGTTTTTTCTCTTCCTTCGGATTTTTTCCCTCTGAAATTCTGTGGGTTTTTTTCTCCTTTTTCGGTTTTTTCCTCTTGCATAGTGACTATTTACCTTGAGTAATTTTCGTTTAAATACATGAATACAATGCATATAAATAGTAGAAGCATCAGTAGATTGTGTGTGCGTGTGTGTGCAAGACATTTTATAGTTTTATTTTGCTCGTTTTTTTTGCTTTACTCGAGATAAGTATGAGAATGAAATTAGATGCAAGTATGCATACTCTTCAGCTATATGTTACATCAGAGATGAGCAGCTACGAGTCATAAGTAATTGTAGTTGGAGCAAGAAATAGTTAGAGTTGACCATTTCTGTGTTATACCGTCATCATTTCATTCTAATTCAAATTAGAATTATGCAAGTTGTTCTCAAAAACAGTATTTATCTCAAATATTTATCGAACAATCTTAATACATTGTTCTATGCTGGTATTTTTCAGATATTAAATAATCTACTCGTCGTCAAAGTATTTGAATATCCGACATGGCAACAAATGAAACAAAAGGTAAGATCATACAATACATACTGTATTCAGTTACTTATCTTACTCCTATCAACGATTCTTTTTCATGTTAATACAGTTAT